GGTGAATGTCTATTTGAAAAGTAGAGGTTTAGAATAATTGTTGCACTTTCATTTTCATTTTGCTCTCAGAAACGAAAGGAGAAAAAAGCGTTTTACTTTCCTTTCTAAATAGAAGAAAAGTTATTTATTCTTCAACTTTCGTTTCTAAAAAAGAATGAAGAGGAAAGTATAAATCCTTTAATATTTGACTATTTTGCGGCATATATGGTGTCCAGTGCAAATGGTTAGTATGATCATTCATGTACTGTGTTGTTCACTCGGAAAACATTGTTAAACCATTTGTCGTCTTGTGCTTTTAGTTATTCTTTTCAACATGCCTGGTAATAATTTTTCCTCATTGTGTTCTATTGAAAGCGAAAATTTTTGAGAATTCTTCGACATTGAAACTCGATCAAGTTTCCAACGACTCTTTATAAAAATAATGGATCAGAAAGACATTTTTTATCTTTTTTTTGGGTCAACTACTAAAAAGGAATTAGATTAAATATTGAAAGTAGTTAATATTATTATCCACGGATTAAAAAATAACATTATATGTTCGTTTGTGACATATTCAATCTTAATAGTTCGCTGGTGGATTCTTCATAAAAAGAAAAAATACTTCTATAAAAAGAACAGAATACAATAAATGAATGAATTTGAAAGTGTAATATAATAATGGCCATCTGCTCTTTCATCCCTTACTAAATGGGACGAAAAATTCAACAAAAGATTGTTTGAATGTTACCATTCATCATAGAAATAAGTATGCTCCTTTTATAATTTCTCGGTTACAAGTCACTAAAGCATAAGTTTAAGGACATGAATTTTCGACGATATTCAAATGAAACACTTGCACAATGATAGAAACAATAAAACAGGTACAATTCTAGTTTTAAATTGTGATTCTGAATCAACGAATCATGAAGATCAAACCACCGTGGCCAACAAGTCTTTAGCATCAACCAATTGTTCTATCAATCAAATAAATCATCCATCTTCTCTCAAGTATACTTCTATTCGGAAAATACTAGTTTCCAAAAAATTACATTTCATTCACTGCATCTAAAGATTACCATAAGTGTCAGAGTAAAAAATGTACCAAAATCATTTCTTATTCATTTTCTTTGACTAGAAGGATCTATTGACACTCGTTGGATGATTGTATAACTATTAGGATTTCAGAATTTTCTCAAAGTTTTTGAAGTTCTAACAGCGCTTAAAAGTTTTTAGGTTTTGGGACTTCTTAAAATTATGTTTAGTTATTTTTTGAGCAAATGTTTAGGTTTTTCGAGTTCAAGAAGTATAGAATTTATGAAATTGAACTAGGCCTCTTCTATAACCTTCAATTCAATTCATCTGAAGGGTTCTTTTCTACAATTATTGTAGAAAAATAAAACTGTGATGCGAAAATGTTCGATACTTTCTAAAGATAGACTAACTTTGTTTTATGTTTGTTCAAATATTGAAGAAAAAAAAAAGTGAAATTCAATAAAATCCTTGAAAATGACTTGAATAATGTAATTGATTCTTTTCTTTTTTTGATAATATCCATCAAAGTCATAATATTATTCTCGAACTATTTTTATGTTAAAATTTACTAGTGAAATAATCATTTATCAAATTGAATTGGCTCTCTATTTATCATAATATAGAAATTTATTTTTAACAGTTTTCGCAAAACAAAAATAGTGTCGAGTAAAAATCTATAAACGGAGTTTTAATAAAGCGAGAAATAATTCTGCAAATATGTCACGCATAAATGCAAAGTTTGTTTTTTTTTAAATTTATGAATTAGAACAATTTCTTCAATTTTTATTGACAATTAAATTCTTTCATTTGAAGTTCGAATCCAATAAAATCATTTATAATTTGGAGAACAGTATATGATACTCAATTTAATGCATAAATATTTTTATTCTTGAAGAATTTTCAGGAACACTTTGTATAACTTATTAATCTTATTTGAGAGGTAAACTATTGTCAAGATGCATTTATTCTTCTTATCTTATCTTTGTTATAAATAAAAATTTGAGTTTATTGTTGTCCATGTTTAAAAGTTGTGGCTGTGATAAACGGTGAGTATCTTCGCTGTTTACTTTGATTCATCAAAACATGTGTATCGATTTCATTTACCTTGAAATAAAATTTTTATAGATAAACTTTTTGTTTTGATTAACAGTAATTGAAATCAAATATGTTTTTAGTAGGTGTAGAGTTTTCAAGAGTAAGAGAAGAAAGAGTGAATGAACGGTAAGAATGAAGGAACTATCAATCGTGAAAGCAAATTGGTTATTAGATTTTATTTCAACAGGTAAATCAGTAATGCTGATCAAAATGTTGCAAAGATGAATTAGAGTGAATAGTGAAAAACTATGCAGTTTGTCAGAGTAACATGTTTTCAACATAAATGAATGTTAATCTTGATAAATATACTTTATTTGTTAAATTTGAATTTAGATTGGTTTTTTTATTGGAACGAACAGAAATCGAAATCACATCCTTTGGTTTTATAAATTAACACATGAGAACAAATATGATCAACATTTTTGCATTGACTATGTTTTTATTCATGATTAGAGTAGTTAGAGTCTATCAGTTAAGCCATCCATACAGATACTTTTGGCAGTCTGGCCGCGTCTCCATCGTTGCCATAAATAGCTACTGAAAATACTAGTCGCCACTGTCGCGAGATAAAAATAGATACTAGATTTTGAAAATTTTCGACTTCCAAGATCAGTTTTCAGGGATGTTCTTGTCTCATATGTGATTGCTACGGTCTCTAGCATTACTCACATCCTGGTATCTTTGCACAAACATAAAAGTTTGTTCCGCAAAAAATTTTTTTCATAATGTTGATTGCATGATTCTATTGGTTTCTCCGAGAGTGTAAATATGATGAGCACAAGAGATCAATAAAAGATCACATTCAAAACAAAGAAAATACACAAACTTATGTAATTTTATTATTGTTACCATCATTTGTGTATGTATAGTATGTGAAGGTAGAATGTGTAACACAAAAGGCCTTTAAATAAAGGTAAGGTTGCCTATATTTTGTTTCTTTCTTTTTCTTGGAAGGTTTTCAAGAACTTTTTCTTCTTCTCTGCCACTCTACTTTTATTGAATTGACAGGTTTCAACGAATATGAATGCGTTGAAATTGATTGAATACTATTCATTGTATTTTAGGAATTCTTTTTGATGTCTTTAGAGATGAAAGTCGATACAGAGATTAGAAACAATGAAAAGTGTTCGATGATTTTTTTTTCAGAAGCTTTCTTTGTTCTAAAAATTTTTATTTTGAGTAAAAGAAGAAAAACATGGTGAGGAATATGTTCATAAGACATTAGATAAAGATATTCTGAAAATTTGAACTTGTGATTAAGAAACTATAAAACTCTATTACTGTAGTTGGGTCATGACTACGAACTCAAAAAACAATTGACAATTGTTCATAAAATCAACTAAAAGAATGTGATGAATCACAGATCATTTATCTATTTTGATAAAGATTCGTAGGTAATAAGATGTTGACATGGTACTCTTAACAAAAATTTTCATCGAAGCTGACAAAAATGACGAATATAGGATATCAATGTATAAAATACATATTCATTACCGTAATTTCAATACACAAGACAAATTAGTATTAAACTTTCCTACGAGTAACAATTAGTCAATCATTCTTACTCTAACACATTACAAGATCATTGACAGGAACATTTGATATAGGACAGATAGTTCGATGTTCTAAAAACATTTCAATCGACGTTTTGCATTTTTTTTTATATAAATGTTAAAGAACAGCACTAGTAGATTGTGATGACTAAAACTGATTTCTTTAAGAGAAATGCAAGACTCTTGAGTTTCAGATACCTTTTCGAATAAAACTTGACAGAAAAATAGTTTCTACTAAATATTCAGTTATAGGAAGATCATTTTATTAATCATCAACATTTAATTTCATATGATAAAATTTCGCAAATCATGAAACTGAAACAAAAAAACTTACTGCGAAAATTATTAACTTTGCATATAAACGAAGATTTAAGTATATCAGACAGAGAGAAATATGAAAAGTTATCGAATTAAACGTTTGAAATCTTTTTCCTTTGATTTTGTATGATGAACTAGGATATACCAAACCTACCCAGGTGAATGAATCCGATACCGGATCCAATCGGATCTGATCGGATCCGACAAAATCCTATGGGATTCCGGGAAACGGATCGACTAACGGATCTGACGGGCGAAACCTATTTTCTTAATTACGTGCTAATTAGCATTTTAACCCAATACTAGAGACCAGTCATATTTATACGATGAATTACTATCGGAATCCGATAGTAGGATCCTATAATGTCTAGACACTAAGGTTCCGTTAGTAGGATCGTCTCCCGGATTCCTATAGGATTTCGTCGGATTTATAGAAATTCCAATAAAATCCGATTGAATCCGATAGGAATCCGATCGGATCCGATTGTTGGAATGATTCTCCTGGGTATGGACAAATCGGAAATTTCAGATTCGATCATTCATATAACTTCAGCCTTAATTTATGATGGTTAAAACAAATGCATAATCAAGTAGGTTTTTGAAATTTTTATATAATCTAAACGACAGGGATACATAAGATGTAACATCTATTCATTCGTGAATTATTAAACTTCATATATAGCTCAATGCAAAATTTTATTCTACATGTTTTGCTAATAATTTCATATTGATCCTACAATGTTCGGGAATATAATGTCTAAAAAAATATTGCTCTAACCATCGTCTGATCGAAATCGTAAAATATCTTATTGATATCTTTGCACAACAGTATCATGATTTTAAACTCATTATAATCTCATTAAATCGATTATTTTCTGTTTTATGATAGATTTTTACTATCAATAAAATATTCTATAATAATTGTAGAAATAAACTATATATGAACTTATTCTTCCCTATCGATAATAACCATAGTCAAAGTTTTAATAAAATATAAAAAATTATTATATTATTGTTACATTTTTAATGATATAAAAAAAGATTAGCTGCCGATTTTGAATATTTACTGTCAGATATTGAATCTTGTTGATCTTTATTAGATGAATTCATAAATTCATGCATAGATATTCGCTCTCGATTTTTACGTTCATATATGGATTTAGACTTAATATTTGTAGACAATCGAGCATGAGTTTTCTCATATGATGGTATTCGCTGTTTATATTGTTCATGACCTGATGAATGTAAAAGAACTTCTGGATGAAATTGATGAATAATTGTAGCACGTTTATTTAAACCCATACGTCTGGTAAAATTTTTGATTTGATTTTTGTTAAAATAAATTGTTAATAAGCTGTAAAATATAATTTTCGTTTTTTTTTTGTTTTGTTTTTTGCTTTTTCTCTGATTAAATCTAAATGTAACTTACGCTACTGTTATCACTATAGTAAGACATGCAATAATAATAATAATAAGAACCTTATTTGAAATCATAGATCTAATTGAAGTTTTTTGATATTCTTTATTTAATTCTTGTAAATGATTTTCATCTATATTTGTTTGATTTTGTATGAATCGATCAAAAACATAATGTTGAGTTTGTGTTATAAGAAATATAAAGAATAAAAGTTTCATATTAATTTCTATATATATAATTGATATAGATAAACTGAACTATTGTAGATATTTACTTTCAATAATTATTAATAGCGCTTATTATTATTTTATTTTATTTTATTTTTTTGAAATCAAGAAAAAACAAATTTTATTTTTTGTATTCAAGTAATAGATTTTGCGTGTCGTCGACAAAATTCAAGTATTCGATGACATGCTTCTTCAGCTTTTTCCGTTGGTGTTGTAAGTACAATACGAATGAAATTATCAATACCAAATACCTAAATAATAAAATTTATTTATTTAATATTGAAACAAAAATAATTTACAGATGCAGGAAGACATGATATTGATTCTTCACAAAGTAGTTTAGTAAAAAACTCTTTATCATTTTCAATATCATTATAATCCGATGGATTCATACGAATAAGCATATACATAGCACCTAAAATTGAATATCAAATAAAAGAATTAAAAGAAATTCAGTTTCTTTTTTTGTTTACCTTGAGGCATAGTTGGTTGAAGACCAGGAGCATTTACAAGCGAATTATAAAAATATTCTGCATTGGTCTAAATAGATTTAATTAAATAAATAAAAAATTTATTAAATTTTTACTCGAAGTTGATTAAGAATATCCATAAAATAAGAATCTGGTGTTTCAGAAAGTATATAAGGTAGAGCTGCTTGAGTAACTGAATTTGGACCAAGAATAAGACTAGATAAATCCAACAGACCAGGTTGAACTGTATCTAAAATAATCAAATTATTTGAATATATATATTATCATTATTCTATTTTACCTTTGAAAAGATTATGTCTATCATGAATAACAATCCAACCAATACGCCATCCTGGACATATAAATCGTTTTGCCATACCACCACAAGAAAGTATTGGTACATTTTCGGAAAGCATAGCAAGAAAATGAAATTGTTGATTAGAGAAAACCTTTTTGAAGAAATATTAAATTTATGTTTTTTTGTTTTTGAAACTTTTACCATATCTGCATAAATTTCATCAGCAATAATTGGTAAATGATGTCGTTCACATATATGTATAATATTTCGTAAATGTTCTTCGGAATAAACAGCTCCACATGGATTACTTGGATTATTAATTATAATAGTTCGTGTTCGATCATCAATTAATGATTCAAGATGAGTTAAATTAATTTGCCAATTTTCTTCTGGCTAAAAACAAAACAAAAAAAACAAAAAATTTTTAATTTTTAAATTTAATTTACTATTAAATCATAAAATCTGATTTCAATATCAAGTGATTCACATAATGTAATATATAGTGAAAAACCAGGTCGAGGAAGAAGAATATTATCTCCTGGATCCGCTAAACATTTAATACATATTTCTAATGCATGAGAACAACCACTAGTTAAAATAATATTCTAGATAAAGAGAAAAAAAAATGAAATATTATGATTATTTGTTTTTTGTTTGTATTTACTTCAGGTTTTAATGTATAATTAGATCGAGACCAAAGTTGAGCTACTGCTTTTCGTGCATCTAATGTGCCTATATTGATTTAGAAAAACAAAAAAAAAAGATCAAGAAAATAAATATAAAATCTTAATTAATATAGTTTACCAAATGATGGTACATAACCATGTGATGTAGGTAATTGTACAGATTGTAGAATTCCTTCTAAAGCTTCAAGTGGTGGAAGCATATTTCCATAATGTGTTGGATCTCCTATGGATAGGGATATCATTTCTTTAGCTGGATTTGGATTTATTTTCATTCGATCAACAATACGTCGGATAGGATTTATTGTATTTCGTGCACTTCTTGATGCTTGAATTGGTAACCAAGCTTTTTCTATTCCATTTGTCATAGGTTTTTCCATTGTATTCATATTATTCTATAAAGTATAAAATTCTCCATATTTATATATTATATTTATTATCTACATACTGCGAATGTATTTTAGCCGGTCAAATAATAGTCATGTGAATAAAAATAACTGCCATTATTTCTTTCAGAGTGTATAAATACAGCATCCTATAGCCTTACTGTTCTTATCTACCTTTCCATTCGCTCTTGACTACATGTTCGACACCTCTTTTTTTTCCTCTCCTACGTTTCATTTAGGTCTGAGAATACAACAGACTATGAAAACGAAGATAATATGTCACAAGGCCAATTTAAAAACAGAATAAGGAGGTGTGGTTCACTAAATGGCGTGTATCTATAATAAAGAAAGGAAATTCTACAAATAATTCATGCTTGATAGTGAGGAGATCATCGATCTGATAGAATGATATTCTAGTCAATAATATTTAAAAAAAAAAAGATTATTTTCTTAATAATTATCTTTATTGAACAATAGAAAATCGAATCATATGATCTAGTTCAAACGAGTAAATGATTACGAATATTTAAATATAGATAAACAATACAACTAAGACATAATATCATTTAAAACGTAAAATATGAATTTATCTTTATTTTACATATGAAATATTTATTTTGTATGAACTTGTTCAATACCATAAATATCTTCGTATTTATGATGAAATATTTCTGTTTGTTTTACGAGAGATTTTATTCTTTTGTAGTTACATATATTCAAATCAATAGAACAAGAAAAAATAGTGATCATTCATTGATGTGTTTTTTCAGTGACTTTTTTTAAAATCATATCGAATCACACTCAATCATCGAATTTTTTCATACTTTCGTAGTTCGAGTATAGTGTGATTACGTCGTTGTCTTCGTTTGCTTTTCTTTTATCTATTATATGTATATGAAAATCGTTTTTTTTTTCGCATCATGATGATATGATATAAAAAAAACAAATCGATATTGTTGACACAATGACTCGAACACTGGTTGCTTTGTCTCTCAGCACTAATAACAACAACGGTATGAAAGAACGATCAAATAGAAGAGTTATTTGAAAAAGAAGATTTTTCTTTACTGATTAATATTTTAATAATGATATTTAAGAATTATCATATGATTTCAACTTGATTTAAATATATTATTCCATATTGAGCAAATATAAAGAATTATACTAGTAAAAAAATAGATAGTCTGACAAAAGAAGAAACTATGAATGTTAGAAATTCAATAACATGATGAATATATATTCAGAATATTTTGTACTAACATATACTTTAATTTGAATTATACATTTTATGATTGAGAAGAGGATTTTTATAGAAACTCATTTTTACAGTAAAACCTTTTCAATGTGAGTAGTACCCAGGATCGGTCAAATCTGATTGTTGATTTTTGATTAAAAACAAAAATCATATGACAAATAACCGAAAAGCAGATAACAGTAATACAGAACAAAAAATGTTTTTTCTCTGGTACTAATATATTTCCCGATTACACTAACAACGAATATTCGTTCCATCACAATGACTTGCTCTTATGATCATCCTCTCCAGTTACTTGTATGAATGCTCTGCCATTGTTTAAACAGTGATGTATTTCGTTTATGCAATGAAATCGTCATATGGTCTGTAATAAAAGATTATTTTGAATAAAATGATCATTGTTTCACCTATTATGTAGCTGTACAAATAATTTCATCCGATTTTTTGTAAATAATCAAAGTCAATTTTTACTGACATCGAATTGAGTTACTGAGTAATTATCATTTTGTTTTCAAAAAGCAACAATATTTAATTTCGTGCAAGAAATAAATGAAAATTTATGCATTTTTAAAACATCATATATCAATAGAAATATTTTTATTTTTCTTGAGATTCAAAAATTTATACAAAATACTTTTACTGATTTATTATTGTTTTTAAAATACATGAATTTTCATTTATTTAGATAAAAATTTCGAGTTGCACGAAAATTAAATATTGCTGCTTTTTGAAACTACTCATTGATTCGATTAGACCTGAGCAAAAATTAATTGCGAATTCTCTTCTAATAAATTTATTATTTTTTAATACTCTCTGTATATTATTTAAATTTTGTTGATTGTTTAGGAAAATGAAGTTATCGAACAATCTTCATCGAATGAATGTACTGTTTGAATTTATTCTTTCTTTTTCTCTCTCATATGATAATTATTAAATAATAAACGTATATCTGATACATACATTTGTCCAATAAATAATAAATTAGTTTTATTCTCTTTCGATCTGCTCAAATAGATAACAACGTATCAAAAACTTTCAATCAAATTTTCGATCGTTTAAAATTCTGATCCCACAATAACTATTCAAAAGATGTAACTTTATAACATTATTTTCTTCAGATATTTCAATGTTCAATATTTTCAAGCATTCATAACATGTTAAAATGTATGCTTTTTTGCAAGTTGGAAATCTTATAACAGTTAAAATGCCTTTTTTTACATGTTCGACTTTATTATTTGTTAATCTATTTCAAAATTAAACCATTAAAATAGATTAACAGATAATAACGTCTAATCATATAGGATGGGAATAAAACTGATCCAGCTAAGAATTTATGTGACAATCTCTTAATTTAGAGAAGTTCGAACGTCGAGCAATGTGTGAATCTGTGTAGGGTGTGACTTGCAGAGATAGATAGAATTCAATTTATTTCTACGTTTTGTTTAAGATTAATCTACATGTGCATAGAACTGATTAATAATTATTCGTTTTCTACTTATCTTTGATAGTGTGAATGAATGAAATTTACAGACAGATGTTATTTACTCTCTTTACTTAATAGCACAAATAAAAGTTGAATAACTAAAAAATATCACAAAGTTGAAAGCTACCATTAGAAATGAAAAGCAAAACATGCAGAAAGAGAATTAAATACGGACAAGAAAAATGAAAAGAAATTATTCACTCTCAGGACAGTAAATTCCTAACTTAACTTTTCTGTAACGATAAGGTTACAAAAAAAACAGATAATTAATATTAGTTTAAATTCCTCGAATTTTTTCCAATTTGTAGAAATTTTGCAGAATCGAAATTTGTCATCGTATAACTTTTAAAATTAGTATCAATGTAAGAATTGCCACTATTGCTTTTAAATATTCACGACTAGTCCATTTTCTTTTCCTATGTTTATCATAATACAATACACATGATATTATTGTTTTCTAGTTCTGTAGATGATTGATAGCATCTATGTTGCTCATATTACAGAGATTTTTATTGCTCATGAGACTAGAAATAAGTGTCCATTGTTTAGACTAAAGAGATACTCATATATAGATTGTTTTTTTCAAGAATAAATCTTCTATTTTTAAAAGTTATTAAATAAAAGAAAAAGAAAAAAATTTGTTATAATTTCAACTGTTTGATAATAAATATAATTATTAAATGAAATCCACGTTCACTAATACTATGTCCTACTCCATCTTCTAATACAACATCCATATTATCATTGATTCCATTCTTTTTTAATATTTCAAAACCACTTTTAGCATTATCCCAAGGAATTCGATTATCATCTTTTCCATGTAAAACTAAAATTGGTATTTTCTTTGCATATTCACTTAAAAATTCTGGAATTTTATTTTCTAATACTAATTGACCACTACAACAAATAATACCACCTAATTGTTGTTTTGTATAGGTTAAACCAGCTAATAATGATAAACAAGCTCCTTGACTAGAAATAAATAATTGAAATTTTTATAATGAAAAAAAAAAATAAAGAAATATATAAATACCTAAATCCACCTATAATTATATGTGAAGCATCATCAACAAGTTTAAGTTCTTCATCGATTAATTGTTTTACAGATTCGATAACTTGTAAACCTGCTTCTATAGCTGTATTATCATGATCATACCAACTTCGTAATTGATATTGACGATTTTCAATAGTCACCAATCGTTTAGGTGCATTTGGTAATACAATTCTTGTATTTGATGGTTGTATTCGAGTAAATAAATCTTTATAACCATCTGAACTATCACCAAAACCATGAAGCCAAATAATCGAATGATGATGTGTACCTTTCGATTCAATAATATGAGCAGTATCAATCAATTTTTCATTTGTAGAAGACGTAGCCATAGATATTGACGATTAATCAAAACAATTTGATCGACTGTTTATATAAAATAGGTAAATATACGATTGATATTTATCGATTCACGTGTTGTTGTTGTTGTTGTTGTTTTTAATAGTCTAACAGAAAAGAAAAAAAAAACCATGATATTACTATAATGAATATAATAAAAAAAAAAATGTTTGAGCAAGATAATTGTCATATTATTTAGATGTTCGCATTACAATTTATGATTTTCTTGTTTTTAAAATATAGGAAAATAGTAGTTGTTTTTTTGCTTTTACTACTAATCAATAATACTTTTGGTTGATAAGAGAAAAGAAGTTCTTTCACAATCTATTTACTTATACTATTAATCCTTTATATACCAGCGTGATACTTTTTTAAAGTATTTTAATTTTGAAATAACCTGCGAATGTGAAACGATATCGAGGTGAAGTTTTCACTTGTAATGCAAAAGATACTTCGATACATATATCCAACCAAGAATCATAACACTAATAAAGTCAATCAGGTAGTAAATCTGATGAGAATTTGTGAAAGACAACCATTGCATCATTTTAGAAAGTTTATTAAAAACCAAGACATCGTTATAACTGAATGAAATCAGTCTCAACCAAACAGTAGACAGCTGTAGCTAGTGGCAAACTACTATAATCTGTACTTTACAGGTATCATCATACGTATTCTCATCTTGATTGATTTCTAATTCGTTTTCTATCATTGATCACTACTGACATCTATCGTCAGAAAGTTGCTAATACATATCAGGAAAGTGTATCAGGACAATTAAATTGTGTTTCACAAATATCAAACATATTGACAACAACAATCATTTAGATGTAAAATTAAAGGAGGCAATAAATGATTCTTAAGATAAACCATCTTTAGAGTTGTATGAATCTAATAGTTCGTCTAAGTAGCATGAAAAAATAATCATATTCAAAAGTTGGACTGATTCTAATTTGACATATCTTGATTTTTTTTATCATCGATTACCACAGTACTAATTCAAGGACAACAAACTAAAGAAAAGCAAAATGCTACCTTCAATAAATTCCAACAGAAAAAGGAATAGATCATCAGGAAGTCTTTTTTTTCGACACACCAAATGTTTATCATTGTTCTCATTCATTTTTGTAAGAAAATATATTTTATCTTGAACTAACCAAATTTTCTGAATTTCGAAACAGTTTTGATGGAAATATGAAAACTCATAGATGTTTCTCTCATAGATAGAGTCATGATTTGATGATGAAGCCCGGAAAATTTGAATAGAAGGCAAAGTCGAAATATATATTAAAACAGATCTTTTCAATATTTGTGTTGTATTCTGACACAGATGGCACTTCGATAATACGATTGCATCTTTAAGTCAAGTCTAAGTATGAGATCAATGATTTTCAAAGTATATCATATTAACAAGAGATTTTTATTTTATTTATTATAAAAATAAGTCTGGTGTTAAAGAGTTAACAAAAATAAATTATACAACTTATAAATTTTAATCTAAGAATGATGAAATAAAACTAATTGTAAAATGTTTTCGTGGATTTGAAAAATGATGTTGACGATGATGAATAGAACATTTTTTAAGATAATTTCCTATGAATGGTATTTTAGAAATTTTTGTTGGACTATATGCATGAATTAAATAATGAACTGAATCATATCGAATATAATTAATTAATAATCCACTTATTAAAGCATTTGGATCTGGTAATTGAAAAATTTTAAAAATAGTCCAAACAATAAATGCTTGAACACCTAATTCATGAATAGGTGAAAATACATGCCATAAATCATTTGGAGCAACATGATGAATACCATGTAGAAAAAAATGAAATTTTTGTGAATGATAACCAATTACTGATAAATGAAATAGAAAACGATGAAATAAATATTCAAATGGAAACCAAAGAATAAGACCAATTAAAATCCAAAAAAAACGTACGAATGTTAATGGTGTTATTAAATAATAAATAATAAATGGCCAAAATAATAATGGTAAAAATGGTGGTGATTTTGTTAATAAAATATTCCAAAATTTTGTTTTATATAAACGAACTTCGTCAACACGTTCAGTTTTACTTGAATAAATCCATTCTTCATATTGTTTAGGTGTTAAATTCATAGCATCTTCACTTGTATAATATTTTTCACCTGTTGTTGAATCAACACGAGGCGTAGGAACGTTTAGAAAAGGTGTTGACATATTCAAAAAGAAAAATAACGAATCAATGATAATATCAAAATATATTCATCATCGTTGTTTTTTTTTCTTATATAGAATCAACAAGAGTCATAATGATAAGGCAAAGATATAGTTAAAACAACCGACATTTACTTTTAGTGCATTGTAATATACTTCATAGTATTAGATTTTGATAATGATTAAAATTAGGAAAATGCATAGTTTTGTATCTCATTAAAAAAAATTTTGAAAAACCTATTTTGATACTTTCTAATATTTCACATCGTTTAGTAGTAACCTAATGTTTTTTTTTGGTATATTATTTATCATCTTCTTTCGAAAACATAATATATAATGATAACTCAGAATCCATTAAATGAATATATATTCATAATCAATTGAATAGGAATTCAAAAGAATTTTGATTATTCTATATCAATAAAAAAAAGTATGTCATTGATAATCTTAACTGATATCAAGAGCAAAGGTTGGTGATATGAAAAATGACGAACAAAGTATGACTCAATAAACTTAGTATCTTAGGTAAATTTACATTCAGGATCCCCATTCCTCGAAAAATCAATCTTGAGTCACATGCATTCAAATTTAGGGGGAAACAGCGGGACTTCGCATATGAAGTCCTGAAGTCTTTTGAAATCTTATGAAGTCTTGAAGTCCTCTATTTTTCCTCTGTCTTGAAGTCTTTAGAAGTTTTGTGAAAATTTGAAGTCACTATGGTTGAAGTCTGCTGTTTCCCCCTTGATTCAAATCGTATGAAATTTTCAGTTCTATATCATGACGTTGTCGGAAAATATTCAATAAATAAGGGTCGATAATAGATCATTTCGCAAGCAAAAAATTTTCTGTGACAGTCTGCAATATCCTTTTGTTTTCAATTCTTACCTTTTTATATAACAATAAAAAAAAAGGCTTAATTCAGAAACGAGACAGTGCAGCTTTGCATGCTCTTTCAAATAAAAGCAATTGGCTACAATAAAGTTTCTTCAAGAATTCTGGGACGCATGACCAGAAAAGCATATTTCTCAAATAGAAAGTGACTGATATCATGAAAAACTTTGGCAATGAAAAAACGAGATACCAAATAAAAAAAAAGAGCTATCTTCTCATGCATTTATTTCAAGTGTCATTTTTCTGATGAAAATTGACTTTGTTTCTAGGAATAAAGGGCTTAAATAAATATTTTTTTTGGGAAGCAAAACTAAAAAGCATTGCCAGTATAAAAAAAAATTATTTATCGGATAGTTGTTGCTATTCGATTTATTAAAAGAAAACGATCGAACTATTTGAAACTTTTTTATTTGTCAAAAATAATTATATTGTTACTCTTTTCATTCTAATCTCGATTTAAAGGGTACTGTCAGATTAAGTAACCTATTCAGAATCGACAAACCAAATATACCACGTTATAGAGCAAGTCAAGATGCGCCGAATGACACATAATAAATCTTATTTTCATAATATTTTTGAAAGGATTAGACTCAGTTTACTGATAGACAACTATGCACCTAAAACATGATTAGCAGTCGAAAGTATTTGTAAAAAAATATATCTTATAGTTTTGTAGCAATGAGTTACCACCATTTTTCATTAATGGTAAGTCTTAGTATCTTCAATAGTGTTGATCATAACAGATGTGAGCAGATGCCAAACATTCTGCGTAATTATCCGCAATGTAGTAGTACAAAACACACAATTTAGAAGTTCCCCAAAATAGCCTTGCATTGGAAACTCTTAATCAATTTTTTTCTTTTAATACTGTATTTCGACATTTTGACTATCAAAAGTCGATTGTAGTACAGAACACACAGAGTGACATTCAGGAAAAAATGACTGAGGAAACGGATCGATCGAATTATGGTGGCAAAAATATTTAGTTAAAATATATACAGTTTGTTATGCTGATTCTGAATATCATGTTTATTTCTACAAAATTATAAATAAGAGAATTTTTTTACAAACACTTTCGACTAACATCAAGAATCATAATGATCAGTAACTGATCATGTTTGGGGCGTATAGTCTTCTATCAGTAAACTGAGTCTATTCCTTTCAAAAATCTTATGAAAATAAGATTTACGTATCATTCGACGTCTCTTGACTTGCTTTACAATATAGTATATGTGGTTTTGCAATTTTGAATGGGTCACCAAATCTAATATGTTTCTTTGCTTTTATTAATGAGTGTTTTTCTAAAATTGCTACGTGATTCGAGATATTTTATTGAGAATTGAACAATGTATACACATACTCATATTGAAAAAAGTTTTTTTAGTTAGAGTACGAACATCTTTATTAAGAAAATATTTCGTTACTTGAGGGTTAATTGTATAGGTCCGCGGGAGTTTACAACTTAAGTATTAGTATAAAAGACAGCTCTTAAGCAAATTAAATTTTGTGCATAAGAAGAAAAAAAAAACCCGGCGTTAAATATAATACATCAAAATCGTGTTACTATGCAGCTAAAGTCATCGTCAGATTTATAGTCATCAAAATCATTTGATACCAAAATTGAAAATAATAATGGATCATTTAGAACATATGTACTAAATGTATGCCAACTTATTTTTGTATTTTGATTATTAAAATTAGTACGAGTTAATATTTCATCAATATTTTGTGATAAACCATTTTTTGATTTAGAAAGATTTAATAAATCAAACATATTTGATAAAATATTTTCGAGTTGTACTCGTGTTAAATATTTATTTTGATCTCGATCATATAAACGAAATATTAATTTAAGTTTATCTTCTAATGAACCTTGATTAATTACTGTATTAAAAAGAAAAAATTCTTCGAAATTTAAACGTTTATCTTCATTTAAATCTAATACATTAAACAATTGTTTAACCATTGATTTTGTAAGACGATTATCATTTCCATTTTGAGTATTAACTTGTTCCAAATAACTTATAAATTCTTTATAAGAAAGATAACTACGTGGATAACAATGATTAAAACGATCATACCAGTCTTTAATATCTTCTGGTGCTACATGAGATTCTTTAGCTAAGCTATTTATTTGAGTAGATGTCAATGCCGGTGGTAGACGAGATCGAAAAAGCCTTTTCATCTATAATGAAATGCAATATTTTGTATTTGGTTTAGACAAAAACAACCGAACTTTATAATGTTTATGTTTTTTTTCCTCTTTAATTGGCTTTGTTAAATATTGACTATTGTTGATTCTTTATAAATATAGGTGCAGAAAAAGGCTAGCAAACAGAAGCCTGTTTTTTTCATATATATTCATGAAACGAAATTTCATCATGATTGTAATATGATGCTATAAATACTGATAAAACTTACATTCTTCTAACTACATACGCTGACAAGATTGACATACAAAATACTAATATGACATACTCGCTTCATGATCGACCATATACCTTTCTCTTTTTTCGTCTAAATGACAGGTATATTTTTGTTAATTTCTACTGATGTATATATAAAAAATATTTGCACATTTCGTTCTCTTTCTCTTTCTGTTGATTCTTTTTCAACCTTAATATTTAGTTATTTTTACCGCCTACAAACATCATACAAGCATGCAACGTCATAAAATCAAACAATATATATATATATATATATATGCATCAAAATTATTTACCAAGAATAAACATAAAAAGAAAACAATAGAAATGTCAATAAGAATAGTCTACGGTCAATAATCGTACCTAAAGAATTTGAATTAGACCATTAAGATATTGTTTCGAATTAATTTTTCTTACATATAGAGAGTCGTGTTCTAGAACTGAAAAATCAGAATTCTTTAACTTTTTTTTTTTACAATAGTTTTTACATCCATACATATAACTTCACTAATTTCTTTATTATTATACTATAAGAAAGCCAATGAAATCTAATAATGATAAAAAAATATCATCAGTTTTGATATAGAAAATTTTAACTATTTCATTTATTCTCAATCAAGACAATATAAAAAATTTACTACTCGTAAACTTGTTTCACAACGATAAAACCAGTTTTTTTTACAAACTAGGTCAAAATACAACTGAATTACTATTCAGAACTAGACAAGCACGAATTGTCAGTTCAATGAAAATCGTACTTGAGAACGAGATTTTCAGAATCGACTACTGCAGAACATGTGCTCAACGCTTTAACAGTACAATTTTCGAATATAAATGAGCACATTTTTGCACAAGGTCGAGAGCGGTAGAAATTAGCTGTTTGTTTCATCTTCGAAGGAAAGAAATAGATACTTAGTGTCACTTTGATATAACACATTTTATCTAAAAGGACGAAAGAACACAAGACCGTTGTTCTGCTCTTAAATTGTTTTATTTTTTATGTTGAAATTAATTCAATGACGACACCGGGTAACATTGCAACGACTCTCGATCAATTTTTTGAGTTACACACGTGCTCCTCTACAAAGTCAACAAAAATTTAACCATTCTCCTAGGGATTATGAGTGTGACTTGAAAAATTGATCGAGAGTTGTTGCAATGTTATCAGATGTCGCCATTGAATTGATTTCAACACACAGAACTGAAAAATTTTGGGAGCCGAAAAACGGCCCTATCAGTCTTTATCTTTTAGAGTGCTTGATACTCGAGCGAGTATTTTGCCCAGTTGTGGTAGTATTTCAGAAGGTGAAACACTTTTTATATGACTTTTACGTATTTCTAAACTTGTTGATGAATCATTTATTGTCTACTCAAAAAAACAAAAACAAAAATAACGCATAATCATTTTTGGTAAACTTTGGATCGGAATTTTTGATTTCACTATATGAATCGTTTGCCTTTTTTTAATTAATAAAAGAAAACAGCCTAGAAAAACTGTATTAAAGTTGTTTATTTATTGTGTTTAATGTGACTTTATATTGTGAAATCTTGTCCACAAGAATTGCTTTCCCTTATTGATAAAATTCTATTTCGTATAATAGTTTTTTTTCTGAGAGATATTTTAAAATTAATTCTCGCACTCCAAACTCAATCAAATTCTCATGTCAACTGAAACACATGTATCGTGACATGAGTTAGGATTTCTCAAGAATAAATGTTGCCTCTGACGCATGTACATACAGCTTCTGTCATAACTATTCATTCATTGAAATACAATTATCTAAATTCTAAGAATTATCAAATGTTTGAAAATTGTTAAATAAAAAGAATATCAAAACTTGTAAATTCTGGTAAGAAGATAATTTCTTTTCGACAAAGAATGAATCAAAACAGAATGAGAGTTTATTTTATTTAATGACGATAGATTCTTCAATTTTTAGAACTTTATTTTATCTGACAACAAAATGTTACTGATAAGATTTCTTATAAAAAAGACAAATTTATTATACAATTACGTTATAGAAAAAGAAATATTCAATTATTTCTAGCTTAAATTTATCTCCGGATTAGTGTCTTGCACAGATACGACTTTTCGCACCCGAATAGCTGTGCCCGATCGGAAGCTAATTGACATTCTGCAAATATATTCGCAGTGTTTTTTCCATCATGTTAACACATATTCACCTTTTTAATAGTTCATTTTCTTCCTCATGTATTCAATTACTTCGTCGTACGGGTTTCTTATCATCTGTAAATGACTTTTTTTTTTTATTAAAAACTAATTCTTTAAGTAAAACAATAGCGTTTTTCATTTCTGTGATCTGTTATTAAGTACAATAAATGACTTCATCGTGATCGAACTAGTTTTCATTTCTACGCTTTTATATATGTACAGCATTTTGAAAAAGTAAAAATATTTTAACGTCAAGAACTCGTATATTATTAATAACCGATTGAAATTGAAACAGATCTGACGTGATTTTTTTTACCATAATAGCTACATCATTGATAAAGAAGGTCTTGATGTGATCCATTTGACAATAAACTTATGAAAAGTACATGCAAAACAACTGATGAGAATCGTATAAAATGTCAACGTCTTCAAAAGATCATTTTTGTGTAATCAACAGAGCTGGTAGCTTTTTTTATTTTAATGTCAATGTTCCTTTCTAGGTCTAACTACTCAATAATTTGATCGAAACTTGTATGCATCGCTACATTCATGTATGAAAAAAAGAACGATATTTGATAAAGTATAGAACGAAAAAACACAGATGAGTTCATTATATGATAATACAATTCAATTTATTGAATATTTTTAGATATTGTCATTATCATATAATTGCATTTATTACTTAAAAAAATCTTTTGTATAGCTATTAGTTCAAATAATCCAATTTTTTCAAATTATTTTTATTGGTTAGTCTGTGCGTCACTATATTAACCAAATATTTGTAAACAAATAGCAAATCAATTTTTTTCAATTTGAGCAAATTTATTTTGTCGATTATTAGTTTATAATGAGAAAACAAGTCTGTAGTCGATATCATTTCCTCGTTCAACTGTTCGAAGAAGAATAGAATGTGTGAATATTGAATTCACGTAATTATAAACACCATAGAAAGTTTTTATTATCTTATAACATATTTTGAATAAATTTATGTAAATAGCTCGAATATATATTTCAATCTAGGAAGAATTTTTTTTATTTTGAAATCAAAAAGTTTTTAGACATACAATTCAGTGATCATAGCTTATGATAATAAGAATGTACTTTTGCCACGAAAAAAAAACAATGCAAAAAGACTCTTCAGAATTTTACGCGTATGCTTTGGTTGTTCTTCTGATAATCTTATTTTTCTAAGAACCAAAAAAAAAAGACATTAGCTCATAAAAAATTATTTTCTTGAGAATATAGGCGTAAAAGTTTGTGGTAACATCCAGGATTTTTTCAAGTAAAAGTAATTGAAAGTTCTTTTTTTAATGACCGTAAAATACATTTTTTTTATAATAGAAAAGAACGAATTATCAAATCTAAATCATTGTCACTAGCAAATATGTTATGATGAATCGAGATGTGCAGCTCTATATGTAACCTTATTATTTCAAATCATTCTATATCAATAATTATTCTCCTATTGAATGATTTTGTTTATTTAACTTATTTATAGATATATGATATTCAAAACTATTATTATTGATCAACGATACAAATCATTTTTAATTTAAGAATATACATTACTAGATGAATTTTATTTATAGTATTCGAGATGTAATAAAATCCTTTAAACATTACAAAACTATGAAAGAACGTATCACACATTTAGCTTGTGTCATTCATGTACAATAATATGTTTTCTATTCTAACGAAAGATTATTTTCTAAATATTGGAAAAAAGAGTGAACTTTAAATATCATCATTTGAATCATTCATTATCACACTAAAGGTTATTTCCTGATTTTGCAGACAAAATTAACGTAAAAAATATTATATACATAAAGCTTTTTACATAATTTTGTCTGCACGATCATGAAATAATCTTTATAATGTTCTACAAAGTGAAAAAAACATGTAGAGATCTATGATAATAAATGAAGATATTTAGAATTTAGTCTTTTTTTCCAATATTTCCAAGAAAAACTTCTTTTCAAAAATTGAAAAAGTAGTTTTTCATAGGTAACTCAATGTCCTCTATTCAATGATAGTAAATAAATTTAGGACAAAAATTTTCTATCATTTTCAATTTTTCGCATCTTACTCTTGCAGTTGAAATCTACGAAAAAATCACCATCTCGAGCAAATCTAGGCATGAGGAGAAAATCTTTGAATGCCATACTACCCTAATGATCTCCTACATATTAATAAAATAAGCGATCAAACCGAGCGGATCAATTAAGAATGTTTTGTTGTAAGTATTTTGTTTATGTAGATCATTTAGAGCGTAAGGGTGTTCGTCGATTTAATTATTTTGGTATGAATTAGTAATGTTTTCGCTAATAGAACGGAAAATGGGATTTATCTTTTCTCTCAGTCAAGTATAAAAATATTTTTTCTTTGTTACATTGAGATAGAAAAGCACTTAAGAATCTTTTCTATAGATATATATATGCGATGCTCGCAATGAACTCGTCCTTATTTTTAGATGAAAGATATTTCTAACCTTTGTATGCAAATAATGAGAGAGACATTTTCCTCGATGATTGAGTTAAAAAAAACAAGCTTTTCTTTTCTTAGTCGTTACTTTAAAGAACATAATTAATAGATATATATATATATAGATCGAACACTATTTCTTTTAATAGTTCTACGAATCAATGAATAGTAGAAAATTATAAGGTAAGATTATATTCGAAAAGAAGTAATCCTATATCAGAAAAAAAAATTAGAAATCAATGTTTGTATTTATTCTGATATTTTAATAGAATACGGTAAGAATTTGAAAAAAGAAATAATATTGATACATGTGTTACTTGTCTATGAGTCTTATAGAAAAATATTTTCTACTTTAGTTTATTTATTAGAAATTTTCATAACCAAAGAGCTCGAATAAAAAAGTTCTGATTCGGATTTTTTTTATTTGCTCGATATCCTCTTAATGAATATACTTGTATCAAGTATATTTCCCTATAAGGAGAATTTTCATTTGTTGTTTAAGGGTATATATTTCTCTACAATGTAGTTGATCAGTAGATTAGTCTCTAGTTGAACCGAAAGAAATTGGATAAGATGAATCGTGGCTGCAGTTAAATGTTTTCTTGTTATTCGATGTATTATTCAGACTGGAATAATCAATGTTTTTATCTCATTATTTATAGTTATTAAACAATGTCATCACCATTAATCGATACATGTTCTGTATCATGTATAGATACAAATTCTTTACTTTTATCACATGTTCGTACAATAGTTAAATTTTATATATGGCCATTACTTGTAGCATTTGGTTTAACAGGTAATTGTCTATCAATAATTGTTTTAACTCGACGACGTCTTATAAGAACAAGTACAAATAATTATTTAACAATTTTAGCTGGATTTGATTCATGTTATTTAATTTTTACACTTTTACTTAATTTTGGTTCACATCCAAAATTTTTTCATTATTCATTTATTCAAACATTTTTATATATTTTACGTCCATTAGCAGATTTTTCTTCTAATACAGCTACATGGTTAATTGTTTGTTTTACACTTGAACGTACATTAGCTGTAGTTAAACCAATATATGCTAAACGTACATGTTCAGTAAGACGTTCACGTCATTTAATATGTACATTATTAATAATATGTTTTTTAATAACATTACCAAGATTTTTTGAAGAAATTTTTCTACATAAAATTTATAATAATCAAATACAAACTAATTTAACAGAATTAAATAATTTATCCAAACAAGAAAATATTTTTCTTAATCTTCATCGTTTATATTTAGTATTTACATGTATTGTTATTATTTGGATACCATTACTTTTAGTTTGTATATGTAATTCAATTCTTATATGGTAAGTGAAGAACAAAAAACAAAAAATATGATTTTTTGTTTTATTAGAGTGTTTTCATGTATAAATCAGAAAATAATTATGTTTCGAGAAAACAAATGTAAAAATTCGGTGAGTTTCAGAATTTTTTAAATGATGAGTTATACTCATCCATTGTTCTATGACTGAATGATAATGTCATGGAAAAGTATATGCACTATAGAAATATGATTGTCTGTTTTGAGTTAGACAAGCACAAGTTCTCAATTGTAATGTGAATACATTTCATTTAAGATCTGCAGTTCGTGTAGAGTACATAAATTAAGAAATAGCACCTATGAAAGTAACGTCTTAACTTTTTAATATCTTCTATTTTCTATCTCTTTCGTTTCTTGAACTATTTGAATACCTAGCCTATAGGGTGAAAGTCTTGGCAGAAAATATTCGTTCGTTTTTCAGTCACTACAAGTAACTGATTACAGTTAGTTAACATCAGAATTTTTCGCTATTCCCGAATATATATTCAGATTTTCCTTCTGGGATATATATTGAACAACGATCCATCAATTTTGAGAAAAGATCTAAAGTTGTGTTTGTACAAAGGAAAATAGTGTTCTTGGTGCTGTCCTTACTTTATACAGTTTCTTCAATTCAACTCGATGATAGTTGTCCAAGCTTATCCCAGAAGAAAATTTCTGAACACATATTCAGAAAAGTTTAATTCTAACTAACTGCTTCTGCTTTTCGTATTTCACACTGTTTAAGTTGTTACCATTATATTTCAATTAGAATATCTACAAAATTTAATATTTCTTAGTTTTAAAACATTCACTGTTGATTATAATTTCTATTGTCACGTCTCTGTTTACACATAGTGTAACGATAAAATGAGGAAGAGAGATGTTATGACAGACTGGAGGAGTAGCTAGCCGCTACTCGGCAATGATGTTTATTAGCTACTTCACATCTCCAGAATGTGTCTATTGCACATTCAACACACACTTATATATGATACAGAAACAAAGGAGAGAGATGACACGCAGAACAATGGAAGAGTGAAGGAAAGGAAAGAAGAGGAGCAGCGTACCGTGACGCATATATCGGCACACATAGAAACTACACAATGTAAAAACAATTACCTGGAAAAATGGTCAACAAGAAATCATTCAGTTCGTTTATTTCATATATACTTCTTTTTATATATCTGAGTATTATCATTAAATAGACAAACTCTAGCTCAAATCAAATTTGAACTCGAACTAAGATTAGGTCAAGTCGAGCTCAACAAATTTCGAACCCGACAGATTCTACTCCAATCAAATATGAAAAAGTTCAAAAGGATGAATATTCCTAGACCTTTCTTCCAGAGTTATAATAGTCATGTTACACAAATTTTAAGCTATGATACGGTATGCACCAAGAAATCGAATGAAGGATATTTCGACCTGAAATTCAGCCCACATATAGATCAACATATTGGAAACTTCATCATTTCCTATATAAGTAAATTGAAAACAAATTAAACTAAAAAGTTCAAATAAACTGTTCGAATTATATTCAATTATTTTTTCTTTTAATAAAATCAGGTATGTTCATCGTTCACGTCATTTTGGTAATGGTCTTCAAGCAAATAATATCTATGAGTCTTATCATAATTCTTCATTAACATCATCATCATCATCATTAAATGATTCAAATATATTTCATTTACGTCGTCATTGTCGTGAAATAATTCAAAAACGTCGAGTAACTATTATATTAATATGTTGTTTATTTGTTGCACTCTTATTATGGACACCACAAAGTTTATCATTAACATATGAAACATTAATTGAAAGTTATTCAGAAATGACACATAAACATCGTATTATTTTACTTATATTTAATAATTTTTCAAATTTATTTCTTTGTATAAATGCATCAATTGATTTTATATTATATTGTTTTTTATCTGAAAAATTTGCTCGAACATGTAAAGAAATTATTTGTCGTCTATGTTCAAATTATAATTTCCATCGTATACAACGAATTCGTTTTTTATCATTGGATCGTACATCAATTATTTTATCAAATACATCAAAGAATTTGTATCAACAACAATTAACAACTAATGCAACTAATAAATATTATCAACAATTATATGATATTTGTCGGAATTCATCAAATATTAAAAATAATCAAAATAAAAAATCGAAAAAGAAATTTGATCATCCAATAGATATAAATATTAAAAGTGATAATTATATATTTTATCAAAAAGCTTTATTAAAAACTAATCAAAGACTAAAATATACTAAATCATGTAGAACACCAATGAATAAAATATCAAATCCAGTCTTAGATTATACGAATGAAAATGATGTGAATAATGAAACTAATTATTCAATAAATAGATTGGTAATGAATTCAACTAAACCATCTTATTCAGAACTAGTATCACCTGTGTAATATTTAAGTTTTATTGTTGTTTTTTTAAATAAATAATGTATAATTTAAGATTTTTTTTCTTTCGAAGAAATAAAGGGTGTGGGTGTTATTAATTGATCAATTGACATCAAGTATAGATGATCTTTTGAATCACTACAAAGAGGTAAAAGAACTCGAGAAAAACATACTGATGCTATAGCATCCCTTGTTCATTATGTATAATCAAAACGTTCATGCTAATATGTAACATCATTAATACGTGCCTTCAATATAATTGATGAATCAGTCTATAGAGAAAAGATTGTTCTTTTTTTTTGCATATTATATTCAAATTTTTAGATTATAAATGATTTCATTTGCATATTCTATATCGATGGTATTACATTTATAATAAATAGTAAAAGAATACTTTGGAGAGTAGAAAGAAAAATGGACTTGATATTATCGTTAAATTCGTTTATTAAGGAAAAATAATGAAGAAATTTACTTTTAGAATTAACAAATACGGAAGAAAAAACAACAAAAGTGTGCTTTAGAATTATATGATAATTGAATATGTAATTAATAGAAAATTCTCGAAAACATATATGCAATATTTTTCATAAGAATTATATTTATTAAAGTTTATGTCTTGAGAAAAAAATGAATATACTTAAATTCTTAGAAAAAATATGTTTCGTCAACACTCATGATTAGAAGTCTGAGCTATTGTTGTTGTTAAGAACATCAAAGAATTTTGAGCTATATCCTCATATTGTAGTTGACGAAAAAATATTTTAAATTTAAAGTTTTTCTTTCTCAAGTTTCACACATTGTTAACGAGATAAAGTTACAAAGAAAAGATAGAGCTCGAAATGAATATCATATAGACATCAATTACAGGCTGCTTCTTATGTCTTCAACTAGAATTTAGCTTTTTTTTGTGGGCTCGAACATTCTGAGGAGGAAGCATCAGACTTCGAGACTGAAATCTCTGCTGTTTTTCTCTCGGAACACTCACGGTTATCTTCAGTATTTCATTACAATTTTCTCTTCCGAAAAGGCGATTTAAAACTCTTCCGCCCTCTGGGCCTTCACGCTGGATGAAATACGGGTTACCTTGATATTTATTTGTGAAACGTCTTATATAATCAACTGAACAGATTATCAATTTTCTTTTTTACCCCACACTATTGAATCTACTTAATCTGTTAGATATGATAGTAAATATCAGCATTTATTGAACACTAGAGATGATATACTATTCAATGTATTCTTTGTGAACACTGTTCAGCAGTGACATCCATTGATTGTCGAATGTTATTTGTTGCGCAATAGTTGTGTAAATTTGTTCAGTGTCTGTCATGTTAGTAGAAGAGAGAGAATAGGTCATTCATTATCTTCCTCCTTATATTTATTCACTTATCATCAAGTAAATAAAGCAACCGACTGTTCTTTCCTTTTTTTTTTCTTTACAACATGCCGGGACTTACTGATGAAATACTAACTGAAATTCGTGATGGTAATAAAAAGAAAAGAATCTTTAATTCAAAAACAAATTCTGTTTTTTTTTGTTCTTTTCTAGTTTTTAGTTTATATGATGATCGAGGAGATAATCATATACCAAAACATTATTTAGGCGAAGCACTTCGAGCATTAGGACTTAATCCAACTGAAGCTGAAATTCGTCTTCTTTTAGCTGATCTTAATCGTGTTGAACGTTTATCTATGCAACAATTTCAAGTTATTTTTGAACGACTTAATCGACAAAAAGATTATGTTGTACCTGCAGAAGAATTTATTGATGGTTTACGTGTTTTTGATAAAGACGGAAATGGTTTAATACCAGCAACAGAATTACGTCATTTACTTACTACATTAGGTATGAAATAATTTTAAATAAAAACAAAAATGATATGCATTAATGGATTTAATATGTATATGTATATATAGGTGAACGATTAACAGATGATGAAGTTGAACAACTTATTTCGGAATTTGAAGATAAAAAAGGAATGATAATGTATGAAGAGTTTATTAAAGCAGTACTTCAACGTTAAAATGAAGAATGAATAAAAAAAAAGAATTTAATTATATATATATTATGAATGCTTCTTTATTCTTAGCTTAATTATCTATATTTCAAATAATGTTTGTTTGGTTTTTTTTTCGTAATAAAAAATATATCTTTTATTATTACTTACAATTATCTACGAGCTTTGAACTATATCTTTTACATAAAATAAACATACATGCTAAACTTGAAGATGAATAATGAAATTAGAGATTTTAACAATTATAAATTAATAGATAATCAAGATGGTTTTTTTAAAAAAAGCTTTTATATAGGATGTCCCAAAAGTTTGTATAGAAAGTTTACGTGAATAGAGCATAAGGATAATCTATCTCTTTTTGGACTCTTTCTGATTCTTAAAGAACATGCAATCGATCAAATTGAAATTTTTATCACAGATAGAGCACCTAGAATGAGGAGACACATGTTTGAGGAAAACAATTTTCAAGGAAATTCTGATTTTCTTCAGTAAAATTCGATTGTTTCTGAAGCCCGGCATCATCGACCTAGGAAATAGGGAATAAACTAGATAGATAGTTAAAATAGTTTATTTATCTTGTCCATTATCTTATGACATTTTTATTTATTACATAACTTCAGTCT